TAAAAAGTTGCAAATAGATATATCATTTGACCCAGCAATTCCACTACTGAGAATTTACCCTGAAGAAACCATAACCACCATCCAAGCAGATATATGCACACCCATGTTTATTGCAGCTCTGTTTGCAATAGCAAAGAGCTAGAAACAACCCACGGGTCCATCATCAAACGAATAGATAGAGGAGCTCTGCTATAGCCACACAATGGAATACTACACTGCATTGAAAAACAAGGAATTCATGAAATATTATTCAATATGGGTGACTCTGGAGGACATTATGCTGAGTGAAATATCCCAAACACAAAAGGACAAATACTGCATAGTGCCCCTCTTGGAAAACGGGACTGAAATTGGGGTTGGGGGAGACTGAGAAAGATGGGATAAATTATGTACACTGCATTGAAACAGATAAAAGAGAGAACTGCTTTAAATGGATATATGATTAGGTTTTATTGTCATGACATGAGTCCAGATCGAAGGCTGAACAGTGGAGTAGACTTGAGGGGAGGGATTGTATAACAATGAAAGAATTTTTCTTCCACTTTTCAAAGAGAAGAACAATCTGGAGGGGTGAGGTGGGCAGGGAGAAAAGTTCAACAATTAATGAATGGAATCCAAAACTCTGTAAATTTCCATTAAAATAATAATGAAAATTAATAATAATTAAAAAGGGGTGGATTAAAAAAAAGAGAGAGAAAGAAACAAGGTAGGAGGAGCTATCTTACTCCCTGATTTCAAATCCTACTACAATGCTATGGTGGTTAAGACAGCATGGTACTGGTACAATGACAGACACATAGATCAATGGAATAGAATTGAGAGCCCAGAAATAAGCCTTTCTACCTATGGTCAATTGACTTTTGACAAGGAGATGAAATTAGTTAAGTGGGGAAATGACAGACTTTTTAATGGATGGTGTTGGCAAATTGGAAAACTATCTGCAGAAAACTCAAGCAAGACCCACACATCACACCACACACAAAAGCCAACTCAAAGTGGATCAAGGACCTATGACTAAAACTAAGGACTTTAAACTTCATTAAAGAAGAGCTTGGAAGAAATCTAGAACCCCTAATCCACAACATGAACAGTGTTCCAAGCATCCTGAAAAACCTACAACCAGGACAGGATAAAATAGATGACTGGGAAATTCTAAGAATCAAATCCCTATGCACATCCAAAAACTTCTCTAGCAGGGTAAAAAAGAAAACCACAGACTGGGGAAAAAATATTTGGTAATGACATGTCTGATAATGGGACTTATATATAGAATTTATAAAATTCTTGAACACCACAACAAGATCAAGGTAAACAACCCAATAGAAAAATGAGCACAAGATATAAACAGACACTTCACCAAAGAAGACATTCAGATGGTCAACAAACACATGAAGAAATGTTCAAATTCCCTAGTGCTAAGAGAGATGCAAATCAAAACAACTATGATATATCATCTCACCCCAGTAAGAATAGCAAAATTCAACAGAGCAGCAAACATCAAATGCTGGTGAGGTTGTGGAGAAACTGGAACTGTTATTCATTGTTGGTGGGAGTGCAAAATGGTGTAACCACTCTGTAAGGCAATATGGTGCTTTCTCAAAAAGTTTTAAATAAAAATACCCTTTGAACCAGCAATTCTACTCCTGGGAATATATCCTAAAGAAACAAGAACTACCACTCATGGAGATATATTCATTATTGCTGCTTTGTTCACAAAAGCAAAGAGTTGGAAACCATCCAGGTGCCCATCAACAAACGAATGGATAGAGAAACTTTGGTATATTCACACAATGGAATATTATGCAGCACTGAAAAACTAAGAACTCATGAAATATTATACAAGATGGGTAACCCTGGAAGACATTATGTTGAGTGAAATATCTCAATCAGAAAAGGACAAATACTTCATAATGCCACTGTTCTAAAATGGGACTGACATAGGGTTTGGGGGAAAACTAAGAAAAACTAAAAAAAAAAAAAAAGAGGGGATAAATAATATACACTGCGTTGAAACAGATGAGGGAGAGAACTGTTAAAAGGAATATATAATTAGGTATTATTTGCATGGCAAGTCTCCAGAGTAACAGCTGCATAGTAAAGAGGACTGGGTGGAGGGCATTGTATAACAATGAAAGATTTTTTTTTTCTTCTCAAAGAGAAAAGTGACATGGGGGGGGGTTGCACCTGGGGAGAAGTGGGCAGGAAGGAAAATGTGCAAGAATGAATGAATGGGAATCCAAGTTCTCTATAATTTTTCATTGAAATCTCAATAAAAAAGGAAAAAAGTGTAGAAATAATACAAAGCATCTTCTCAGACCACAATGTTACAAAATTAGAACTTGATAACAAGAGAATGCACTTGGAAGCTGAACAACACCCTTCTTGAACATGAGTGGGTAATGAAAACAACTTACTAAAACCTCTGGGAAACAGCCAAAGTAGTTATCAGAGGTCAATTTCTATCAGGAAGCAAACATATAAAAAGGCAAGAAAAAAAGAAGTGTTGGCAATAATTAAGTTATTAGTCATATAAAATTCTATCATACAATCTCTATAAGCAAAAGTGTATTTTTCATTTATCAATCCTTCTTTGTTTCTAACTTTCATTTTCAATTATCAGCAGTTCAAATGAACTAGCCACTAGAAAGATAGGCAATCTCCTTACATAAAGATTTATAGCCTCAGGGGTAAAGAGTCTCTATGAGCTGGAAACAGCTGATGGCAGTGGATTTGTGTTGTTATGTGTGTTGTTTTGTTTTGATTTTTTTTTTAGTCCAAGAATAGAAGAGTATTTATCTGCTGACTTTAAACCCTTAATAGTCAGGAATAACTCCAGGAAGGTCCCTTGAACATCCATATTTATACATCCACCAAAATAGTTTCTTCAAACATACTATGTAGCTATAATAGTGAATCCATGGACTATAAAGCAAAAGATACATAGTGTGGTTAGTGCAAGTTACTGTGAGGATACATCTGCCCACAGCAATGTCTGGAGCAAAAAGACAGATCCAGAAGATGTTTAATGAGTATTAAAAATATCATATACCTGTTTCTTGCACTGCTCCAATCTGTTCACACCCTACAATTTAGTTCCTCTGCTTATTAGTTCTAAGAAAAAAGTACTATAGTCTCACTATCATTAAATAAAAACAGCAAAAATTTTCATTCTCACCAGTTAACACAACTAGAATTCAATTGACATATTCAGTTTTAGAAGACAAGACTAAAAATATGGACTATTGGACTACTAGTCTATTTGGACCAAAGTGGAGCATTGTCTTAGTTTAGTTAGAAGCAGACACTGAGGCAAGTATCTGCACATAGTTTATGTCAGAAGTGATTCCTGCAAGCATTCCTGGAGAAATTAAAATGATTATCCAAGAAAAGGAGCGAGGTCAAGAAAGGTACTTCATCAAGCCATTTCTACTGTGGGCTACAAGAACTTCAGACTAATGGGGAGCTCAGGGGAAAAGTATACTCCAGAGTTATTCCTCCAAACAAGTGAGAAACTTGCAATATTTACTCATCTTTCTGAGTTGGATTAGATGGGATTCATTGAGGATTGTTTGCAAGGACACTAATTCTCAAGCACATTTAAGCTATCTCAGCCCAGTGGACCATTGATTGGCAGTACCATGAGAGAGGGAGAAAAGATTGAAGTTGTTAACAATTTGGAAAAGTCTCCCATCAGGGACCTTTCCAGAGTGCTAAAGAGCAACAATGTCAGTTTGGACACTAAGGTGTGACTGATGCAGGCTATGATCTTCTCAGGTGCTTGCTATTCAGCTAAAAGCTGGACAGTGATTAAGGATGACCAAAGAAGGATCAGTGCTTTTGAGTTGGGGCACTAAAGAAGAGTATCGAACATATCATGGACTGCCAAGAGAATAAACAAGTCTGTCTTGGAGATGGTGAAACCAGATTGCTCTTCCTAGGCAAGAGATTTAAAGTTCCATCTCACACAATATGTGGGTATGTGACCAGAAAAGATCAGTTCTTGGAGGAGAACATCATGATTGGAAGGGTGGAGGGACAGCACAGGTGAGGAAGACCCTGGAGGATATTGATTGATACAATGACTGTGACAGTGGGGGCAGGTGTATCAGAGGTAGTAAGGCTGGCCTGGGATAGCGCAAGGTACAGAACCACTGTTCCTAGGGTCACTGAGTCATAGTCAACTCGATGGCACACAATAACAACAAGTGTAGGTCAATTGTGTTCCTGTGACCAAAAAGATAATCCTTTAAGCAGAGTCTTTAGCTTAAGCAAGAAGCAGCCAATGTGTAGAGGTGAATGCAAAGAGTAAGTAGAAAGAATACCAACAACATTACTACAAAACTCAGCTATAGACATAAAGTCATGACATTCTTAACATTGATCTTGATACACAAGTACATGTAACACTGGTGGGAGGGATTGGAATCAGAGGGATGAGGATATGCAGGGGGGTCATGGGGTTGTACAATTTGATGGGTGGGGGGAGTGGGGGAAAGTGAAAGAATTTGTTCTTGGAAACAATGTATTAGAATTTTATAAATAAAGTAGTAGAACATTTTTTTTAAAAAAGAACATGTCCTCATTGAAGTTTTTTTAAAACAGCCATTCCACTGATCAATTAAATGAGAAATTCAACAGACTCAGGCTTAGCAATGAAACAGGTGAAGTTCTCATTAGAAATGAGCTTTTACAATCCCAGAGGTGCACAGTTCGAATCCACCAGATGCTCTGCTGGAGAAGGAGGGACAATCTCATCCTGTACCAGTCAGATCTGATTTGACAGAATGCATACAAAATAATAAAAATTTAAAGAAAGGGAAAAAGAAATAAACTTTTAAGATTACACTTATGTATAAAATGGCATTCTTTTTTTTCACAGTAATGATAAACTGGGCCCTAATAATAGACATTTTTATCAACATTACATTCAAAATTATTTTCAGATTAGTATTGACAGAAAACAAATTCATTGGAACTTCCAAAAGTAGCACAAAATTATTTTATTTGTATCCATGTGTGATCTATTTCATTTGTTCTAGCAACTTAATATTAATAGCAGCTCTCAGGTTAGCCCAAAAAAGCCCACGTTTGTTCTTCTCCTTGGGCCATTCCAAGTAAGTCCTCTGTGCCATAAGAGTTTTGAGTTTATGATAGTTACTGGGAATGGAGTACTGTGGAATAGGTTCCAGTAAGATGAGGATTAAGTTATCAAAAGCTTCATGAAAGAGTTTGTGGTGAGCAAAGTAGAGTTCATAATGGCACCACTCACTTTGGATGAAGTTGGGAGACAAGACAAAGATGGACTTGTAACTTTTGTCAATGAAGTTGATGATATTTTCAACAATGCTTTTGCCAGGGATAAATTGCCTTTCGTGAAGGCAGATCCGTATGTCTTCTTTTTCTAGGTTTGGTAGCAATTCAGTCTTCACCCAGGCAGAATCTTGCCCACTGTATGAAATAAAAGCATGAAACTGGAGATTTCTTTGGAGCTCTTCTAAAGGTATGCTCCTAGCCCTGTGTTGGGCCTGGGTCCACTGCCAGATCATCCTGAGGTACCAAGGTACATCCAAGTAGATGCAGAGGAAGGTCACAGTTACTGCCAATGCCAGCATAGTGACCCCAATGGTGACAATCAGCAGAGCTGTGTTGCAGTATAACTGAGGCACGTGGAAGTCCTTTAGTGCAGTTCCCTTATAGCTTTCTGGGTAGGCACACTGATAAGATGCAGGCCAGTCCTTTACCACTTCACTTGATAACTGGCCTACATTTTTTATAAATTCTCTTAGTCCACATGAACACTGGAATGGATTGTTCCCTGCTGATATTGACCTAATCTTCTGGCAACTGGAGAAGAAGTCAGCTGATGGGTTGGATAGTGAATTGTGGTCAATGATCAGTACAGACAGGCTGTTAAAGGTACCACATCCAGGAAGGTCAATTAAAAAATTGAAAGCAACATTTAGTTCTTGCAAAGCTTTCAGGCTGGTGACCTCTTTAGGGATGCTCCCTATTCTGTTGCTGTGAATATCAAGTACTATGAGCTGGGGAGGTAAACATCTGAACACAGAGCCCATGAGTACGTTTGAAGACATGTTCAAAATTAATAGGCTTTCAGTCCAAGAGCAATTGCCTTCATTTTCATACCTTAGAGCATTCTGGCTAATATCCAACCATTGTAGAGACTTCATGCCCTTGGTCATATGAGCTACATTTGCAAGTTCTTGAAATTGATTCGCTTGTAAAATAAGCGTCTTTAAAGCAGTCAGGTTTTTACAATCGTTGAAAAGCATATCTGTCAGGAGATTGTTGGAAAAATTCAAGTACACAAGTGGGCTCCTTTGGGTGGGGCAAAGCATGTGCATCATCCGGGTGCCGGTTACAGTGATGTTCTGGATCTGCATGTTTGAAAAGACTCGGTAAATATAATCCTGTCGAAATTGAAACATGCTGCTAAAAACTTGGTGGAGAGACAAAGACTTCAGTGAAGTGGCAGAGTAATTGAAATCTCTCTGGTTAAGTTGATTTGCGAGTTTCACATTGCACATGGAGAAATACTCCACAGAGCTGTGCCAAACCAGCTGGAGGATGCTAATGAAAGCATTCCAGGTCGTTTCAAGGTTGTTTAATGTCAGACTTACTAACCTCCGGTTCTTTTGGAGTCTTAACAGAGCGTTTAGGAAATAAGAATGGCCATTGTTATCCAGCATGTATTTGATATTAGACAGTTCCAAGCTGACTGCAGTGCTGGCAGTCACATCCAAAACAAAATGGAATTCCTTTTGTTTGGGGAAGACAATGTGCAAGCTCTTTATGTTTAAGTGTTGAAGGCTCTCGGGGTCTTCTTTCTGCCCGTAAAGTTCTCCTAAGACCAATAATACCTCACTGATGTTCAAATGGGCAATTGGAAGCATACTGGATTTTTGCAACTGTGTGGCACTCAATCCCAGGAAATCTAGTTGTGACATGTTGCCAAACTCTTTGCAAATGGGCAGGGCCTCAAACTCATTAAATGAGAGGTCTATGTGCTTGAAGTTCATAGCAGGGTGGCAGGAAATCTTCCACAGCTTGTTGTGGGATAAATCCAGGTATACCAATGCCTGGTTGAATTGGAACACACTGGTATCCAGATACTGGATTTTATTATGAGAAAGTATCAGAATTCTCAGCTTGGGGAGAGGCAAGAAGTCAGAAGTCTGCAGACTTGATATCGAGTTTTGTGACAGATCTAAGACTGTTGTTTTCAGAGACAGATTTTTGGGAATTTGGGTCAGACCCATTTTTGACCTGTCAAGGACAAGTTCACTTTCGTCAGCTAATTGGATTCTGATCTCAAGGGTCAAAATGAAGATGATGGCAAAATAGGAGAAAGTAGAATTTGTTTTAGCCATTTTGTAGGCTTAGACATTTCTAACTGTAGTTGTGGTTGTTCAAAACATCTTGATGCAGATAACACATCCTATGGGAGACAAAAAGAATTCATATTGAATGATTTTGTTAGAGCAGGTGAGGCAGATAATAAATACTTTTTAGTAGAGATTCATAAAAAAAGGTTACCTTCTGTGGGGTTACATACGTAACCAGAAAAAAAAATATGTTCTTAACAAGCATCCTAGCTCTAGTCAAATAAATTTTAATATCTGTGATTACTGTGTTACATAGTAACCTTTAAAAGACACATTCATATATTATCCCTTACTGTTGCTAAGTGTTATCAAGTCAGCTCCAAATCATAGCAATCCTGTGTAGAACAGATCAAAACCCTGCTTGACCCTGCACTGTGCTCAGAATCTTTGCTGAGCTTAAACCCATTTTTAGAGTCACAATGCCAATCTGCCTTGTTAAAGGTCTCCCTCTCTTTCACTGATCCTCCATCTTCCCAAGTATGATTTTCTTTTTCCAAGGACTAATGACTGCTGGAGGGCTTTAAGTCCAGAAGGAGAAGAGGGGAGAGTCAGCGGCCATGTTCTCCCAGGTTTGCTCTGCCCAGGGTTGTTATGGCCCGGTTGCCAGAGAGGGCACGGTGCTGTCTGGGTGGGTGTTGTGGCAGTTTTCGGCCGGAAGGACTACTCTGCCTCCAGGAGCCAGGCAAGCCAGGCTTGGCCTAGGGTTTAAGGCGGCAGCAGAGGGCTTCAAGCCCAAAAGCGTTAATGGTTGGCTACCCAATGCGGACAGAAAGTGGGGTGGAGCTCCCCAATTAAAACAAGCGTGGAAGGAGGAGTGGCATCCACTTCCATAATAGCTTGCCTCCGAAACCCTATGAACCTGGAGAGAGGATGAGAGACACCCAAGCGTTGAGGACTCTCCTTCATAGGGTCGCTATGAGTCGCCCGCGACTCGACGGCACTTAACAACAACAACAATAACTGCTGACAACATTCCCTGAGTATGTGAGACACAATCTCACCATCCTTGCCTGAAAGGAGTACCCTGTTTGCAATTCCTCCAAGACATATTTGCTCGGGTTTGTTTGTTTTGGTTTTGGCAGCCTATGATATATTTGACATTCTTTGCCAACACAATTCAAAGGCACCGATTATTCTCCAGTCTTCTTTATTCATTGTCCAAATGCACATGCATACATAGTAATTGAAATACCCCTGGCTTGTATCACGGCCAACTTAGTCTTTAAAGAGGCATCCTTTCCTCTCAGCACTTTAAAGAGATCTTTGACAGCTAATTTGCCCAATGCAGCAGCACATCTTTGGGGTTCTTGGCTGCTGTTCTTATGGGTGTTGATTATGAATCCAAGCTTAAATAACTTAAATAACTGAGAATTTCAATCTTTTCTCCATCTATCAAACATTGTGTTGCTTATTAATCCTTTTGTAAGGAATTTTTTATTTCTTTATGACAGAGTGTGGAAATTATCAAACAATATCATTAACATCACATGCAAGCAAGATTCTGCTGAAAATTATCCAAAAACTGACTGGAACTAATGAACGTGTTTCTGGTCATTTCAATGTTGTTTAATGTCAGATTTACTAACTTTTAGTTCTTTTGGAGTTTTATCAAGAGTGTTTAGGAAATAAGAATGATCATTGTTATCCAGCATGTATTTGATATTAGACAGTTCCAAGCTGACTGCAGTTCTCAGCAGAGAACTGCCAGAAGTGCACAATGGGTTTAGAAGAGGCCATGCTACTAGGGATATTATAACAAATATTAGATGGATCTTGGCTGAAAGCAGAGAGTAGCAGAGGAATGTCTATCTGTGTTTAATTGACTATGCAAAGGATTTGACTGTGTGGATCACAACAAATTGTGGCTTACTCTGAGAGAAATGGGAATTCCCAGAACACTTGAATGTGCTTATACAAAACCTACACTTGGACCAGGAGGCAGTCATCTGAACAGAGTAGGAAAACACTACCTGGTTCAAAATTGGGAAGGGTGTGCATCAAGGATGTGTCCTATCTCCATATCTTTTCAATCTATATGTGGAAGAGATTATCCAAGAGGCCGGGGTATATGAGGAGAAATGTGGCATCAAGATTGGAGGAAGACTCATTATCAACCTGCATTATGCAGATGACACAACCTTGCTTGCTGAAACTAAGAAGGACCTGAAGTACTTGCTGTAAAAGGTCAAGAACTGTAGTCTTCAATATGGATTGAAGCACAATGTCCAAAAAAAAAAAAAACCAACAAAAAAAACCCAAACAAAGATTCTCACCACTGGGCCAATTGGCAGCACCATCATAGATGGTGACGAAATTGAGTTTTTTAACAGCTTCAGTTTGCTTTGCTCCACAATCAAAATTCTTGGTATTAGCAGCCAGAAAATTCTTTTGATGAATTGCATTGGAGAAATGTGCTGTCAGGGACTTCTCCAGAGTACTGAAGAGCAAATGATGTCAGTCAAGAGTCTAAGGTGTGCCTGATCCAGACCAAGGTCTTTGCAATTACTTGCTATGCATCAGAGAGCTGGACAATGACTAGAGATGATAGAAAGAGAATTGATGCCTTTGAGCTGTTGTGCTGGAGAAGAGTGCTGAATATCCCATGGACTGCTAGAAGAACAAACAGGCTCATCCTGAAGAGAGTGAAACCTGACTGCTCCTTGGAGGCAAGGATTCTGAAGCTCTGTCTCACATACTTTGGACATGTTGTAAGGAGGAACCAGTCTTTAGAGAGGGATATCATGCTTGGAAGGGTGGAGGGACAATACAAGAGAGGAAGACTTTGATGAGATGGATAAATTCACTGACTGGGGTCATGGGGGTAGGTGTGGTGGAGACGGTGAAGCTGGCTCAGGATAGAACAGGGTTCAGAACTGTTCTACCGCTATGAGTTGCAAACAACTCAATAGCACAGAACAACAACATGTTGATTGTAATCCTATGAATATTTAAGAGTCTTTGCACATATTATAAAATTTAAAATCTGGAGGTGAAGGAATCATCCTGGATTTTTTGAGAGTGCTTTAGATACAACAACAACAATGTCCTTATAAGGCAGTAATCACACCAGAGAAGATTTTCTATCCTTATCCTGTAGAGTGGCTGGTGGATTTGAACCACATGCCTTTGGGTTTGCAGCACAGCTTCTTTCCACTAGGCCACCAGAGCAGAGGGAAATTTGACACAGATAGAACATAAGAAGAAATATGGTGGAAAAGGCTATGTGATAAGAGAAGCAGCTACAGGAGGGATGCAATCACAAGACAAGACATGCCAACAGCCTTCAGAAGATTTAAGACTCTGGAAGAAGTAGGAGTAAGACTATACCAATACCTTATTTTTGGACTTCTGGCTCTTAGAATTGTTTAAGAATAACTATTCTGTAGTTCTAAAGCACCAAGTTTATGATAATTTATTGCAGTTCTCACAAGAGACTAATACAGTTGGTTTTACTTAAATCATGGAAAGCCTATAGCCCTAAACCTCTCAAGGTCATTTAGAACTCAGTCTAGAACTCACAGTTGGTGGGTTCGTAGGTGGTGCAGAAAATGAACAAAAGTTTGGAGGTTCTCTGTCGTTGTAGTTCATAGTGTAGTTCTTGCTAACTCAAAGGCCACATGTTTTCAAGAGTACAAATCCACCAATGACTTTGTGGAATAAAGACGAATAGTATCACATTATGATTTATAGGCTGAGAAACCTAACAAAAAGTCTTTAAGAGTTGGAACTGACTCAGCAACAATACATTTTAAGAAGTGTTTTGGAGGAAAGATTGAATTATTCTAAAAAAATTAGGCATTGTAAACTCTATGGAGCACAGTTCTTTTCTGACATACCTGGAGTTTCCATGAGTTGGAATCAACTCCAGGGCAACTGATGGTAGGTTCATTCACCATCTGGCATGGAGTTCCCCACTTCCTGTGTTTTCCCCCCATGTGGTTCTCTCTTCCTAGATTGAGTCTGCTCTTGCATTACCTTTAATCAGCTCCATGGTTTGGGATTGAATTTTGGTTTTTAGCCAATAAGTGATTAGAGCATAAGAAAAGGTTTCTCAGACAAGCCTTCTTTCACCCATTTTTTGGTCTTGTTTTTATTTTGTTTGTTTAGTTCTGTTTTCATTTTCTTGCTGTGTACTGTCAAATCAGATTCTACTTGCATAGGAGGAGATTGCTCCTCCTTTTCCAGCAAAACATCTGGTGGATTTGAACTGTGTGCCTTCAGAATTGCAGCACAGCTTCTTGCCACTAGGCCACCAGAGTTCCCCACTCATTTATTTTTTTCACCTTTTGTTCATAGAGTCACTATGAGTCGCCTACGACTCGATGGCACTTAACAACACAGAGAGAGACCAGTTGACCTAGTGGACCGAAAGCGATGCTACCAAACCAAAGGTGGGTGACTCTAGTCTGTGGCCCTCAGCTCTGTTTTTCATTGTTTTTGTTCATACAGTCTTCTAGGTCATATAACCCTGGTGTGTCCACTTGCCGTACAGAAGTAACTTGTGGTCGCTGTGAAACTGAACACTCTGGCACTGATGTGTCAAATGCAATAACGGTTATCCATGGTGGATGGTGTTTGGTGGCACTCCCTGGTTGAAACAAGCTTGGAAGGAGGAATGGCATCCACTTCCGAAATAGCTTGCCTCCAGAAACCTTATGAACCTGGAGAGAGGATGAAAGTCATGCATGCAAGTGTCAAAGACTTTCATTCATAGGGTCGCTATGAGTCGCCTATGACTCAATGGCACTTAACAACAACAATACTTACTTCTTCAACCAGGCCTTTTGAAAAAAGAAATCATGCTGGGAAAGGTGGAAGGTCAGAGAAAGAGAGAAAGATGCTCAAAAGATGGACTTGCACAGCGACTGAAGCTTGAGCGTGTCAGAGATCATGAGTACGGTGCAGATTAGGGCAAGGTTGAGATCTGTTGTTCATAGGATGACCATGAGTCAGAGGGGACTAACAACAAGAGCAACAACGGGCTC